GTCCAAGATACCTAACAAGAAATCTGTCATTGCTAAAAAACAAATTGTGGACAAAATCATGTTCTTGCAGAAAAAGAGTGTATATTTGAGCTATCAAGCCCAATGCGGTATATCACAGAATTATTTAATATTTTGGAAAGCACTGACAATGACAAACCTTATCTTTTTATATACACTGATGGTAGACCAGATCACCAGGTTAACTTTCTTCATGTACAACTTACATTAATTGCAATTTTTTTTGGCCCTGGACCTTGATCTTTTGGTTGCTATTTGTATACCTTCAGAACATTCATGGAAAAACCTAGTCAAATGCATTATATCTATTTTAAATATTGGTTATAGTGCGTTAGACTAATGAGAAGTGAGATGAATAAAAAATTAGAAAGCTTAATGAAAAATTGTAACACAATAGACAAAATTCAAAATTAGGCTAAAAGAGTATCTCAGCTTAAAAGAGGAATAATAAAAAGCTTACAACCTACTAAAACTATTATGCAGGATATTTTCGAGCAACTAGAACTTAAGGAAAAACAGTTTTCTGTATTCGAATCAGCGACGGAGCAAAACATGGAGCGATTTTGGAAGTCTGTGCTTGAAGTAGATAATTCATTAGTACCAGAAGACATGTTCAAGAAATATATTGAAAATAAGGTCTGTTTGAATTTCAAAATAAATAACTAATAAAATAAAAATAAAATAAAAAAAAAAAAAAAAAAAAAAAAAAAAAAAAAAAAAAAAAAAAAAAAAAAAAGAAAAAAAAATGGAAAAAAAAAAAAAATCAAAAAAAAAAAATCAAAAAAAAATCAGAAAAAAACTTTTTATGAACTTACACATATATAAATATACAATATAGCCCCATATTCTTGAGTTCATAGACTATTGCTATTGTTCAAGAATCTACTTTTTTGAAATTAGAAAATGCCAAGAAGCTAAAAATGGTTGCATAATATGTAAACCTCTACAGAGCAATCCCAATATATTTTTAAAGTTTTGACCTTTTCCTGATCCTATTTCTAAAGCAAATAAAGATCATTATATGCCATTTTGTGAAATATATAGTAGAGAAACTAGTGAAAAATATCGCCCGTCTTCACTTCAAAAAGCCACATCACTATTAATGACTACAACTAATAACCTTGGTGTTAATGGTATGGGCTTTAGTCCCTGAGCACAATATGCATCAAATGTGCATGTTTTGGTTAAGTATATTGAATATAACTGGCTACAGGTTCTTTATTTACAATATCATCTAAATCTGAAGAAGAAAGTTTTCTTAAAACTTTATTGAAATGATTTATTATATATGTGATACAACTTTTTATAGAATTTCAGACCTCACAAAAGCCAGTTTACAATCATACTTAAACAACAATTGTAACGAATGTCAAGATATAGATAACAGAAATAATTTTATTGATATAGATGATATTGATGATATAGATAATATTGATGATGTGGATAATATCGATAATATGAATGATATCATTAATATGAAAGATGAAAATAAGTTTATCAATGAATCATCTACAGAACAGCAGAATAAGGCTAATGATTTATCTTTAAAAATATTATTCAAGTGTGTTTTTATTAATGCTAAGCTTACCTGCTCAACACCAATAGAAGTTCTATACTTCTCCTCTCGTCTTTATCTGGATGTCTGTTTTCAGTGTGGTGATATGAAATCCTTTCACCAACTTCTGCTAGTCAACAGCCATATTGTCCTGAATGTAATGTCAAAATTAAATCTAAAAAAAAAAGACAAGGGTGTTAAGTTTCAGACAAAAAAAAAAGCAGTTAAGATGTCACAGCTTTTGTAAAAGTGTAATAGTGGTACTGTTCAAATTATATTTTAGTTATGTGATAATAAAAAAAAGATTTCTTGAGCATATTATCGAGCAACCTACACAATCTTATAAGCATTTGTCTTGTGAAAAAGAATATATAGTTATTGTATGCGAAGTATGCAATAACTATATATTCTTTTTTTTTTTTTAGTCCTACGCTATAGATTTTAAAGTTAACAAATATGATAGTTGATCTGAATATCTTGTAATAGTGATCACAGCGATCTAAAAGTTAATGCCATAATAGTATTTGAAGAATGTGTTACCTATATAAGAACAAGAGGTTCTTTAAGAAAAGTTTATTTTAGCCTTACAATGTTTATTAACTCTTACAAATTTTATCCTACAATCATACCTATTGATTTAAAAGCTCAAATCACATTTCTTGTAATAGTCACCCTAACAAGTTATTGTTAACAGTTTAATTTTAGATAAAAATAGCAGGATCAATATAACAGATCAAATATCAGGTTCACAAAATGTTAAATTCTGTGGTTAATTATTATACGATAGAGTGAAATCTGCGTTACTAGCTAGTAAAATCTGCTATAATCATCACGTGAGGGTGAAATCTACTTTTATATAATAAAAAACATAATCAACCATGAATTTCACCCTAACCTGATCTATGTAGCAGATTTTACTAGCTAGCAACATGGGTTTTACCCTGTTTTATTATTATTATCTCATATCAGTATGTACTTTCATACAAAGCCTACTTTTCAATACTTGCAAATTTGCTAAAGAATACCTATTTAATTATATCTTTAAACTTTATTGCATTAAGTTGTATTTGCTATGGTTGTTACCTGTCCAATTATGAAATTATTTTTACAATTCACTAGCTATAGAGATTCTTTATATGTTTTAATATAAAAAAAATTTTTACTTTTTGCAAAAAAGTCACCCAGCCAGGTGATAAGAACCAATTTTATTTATGTATATGGTCTAACTAATAATAATATTATATTTTTTTTTATTACTTACTTAAGAAATATATTTGGTAGGTATTCACTAATACTATGAGCTTGGCTATCTTGAAAATTATAGATTGAACATTTGTGATTATTATTTGTCAATCTTATATTGTTACAAGTTGAACATATAAAGTTTTGTCTGGTACCTGCTTTTCATAAACGAAAGTATGTTTAGTAATACAATGTTGAGATCAAAATAATCAAGAGCATCCAGTGGTTCAAGTTATTTGCTGAGTACCAATTGTCAAGGACCCAAATTTGCAGGTGACTTGGTAAAAATCACAATTAGGTTTTCTTTGAAGAACCTTGCACAGTAAAGATCTTTGTCTATCTTTAATTTATCAATGCTGAGAATGTGAATTTTTGCTAAATCACCAGGTTCGTATGTTTGATTTTGTTTTGTTAATACTTTGCTTCCATTTTGTTTTTAATAAATTTATAGCTTCTTTTAATATTTAAAAGAGCTGAAAGTAACGAGCTAATTCAATTTAAATTTTGTTTAACCACATAAATTTATTTATTAGTTAATATAACACACTTGAATATGATTTAGAAAACTTTTAAAAACAATAGGGCACATAGATAAAACTCTTTTAGATATACATCAAGTAATACACACTTTTCATTAATTGGTCACATTCTACTAACTGCTAATAAATATAGCAATATAGTAATATTTAACCTGAATCTAATAAAAGGGTTTTTATTATTGTTATTTTATTTTTATTTTTTAAAAAAAATATATAAATTTACCTTTTCCTAGCTTTTTAATAGTCACCGTGCTTATTGCTTGGTAGGCAGTATAAATTATTTCATAAAAATTTTTAATATAACAAACTTGTATTTTCAAGTTATTCTTATCTTGTTTAAGCAAATGCAGTTTCACT